GATTAGGAATTTAAATATCTAGTAAGCCCAAATGCACATTAATGAGCCTGAGGGGTGGGAGGGAAGAGAAAGAGATTTACGTTATTATGTGTATCATTAGTTCATTTCTTTTTATGACTGTGCACTTTTCCACTGATTGAGTAAACCATAATTTGTTTATCTATTCTTCTTTTGACACATATTTGGAATATTTCCGGTCTGAGGACATTATGGATAAAGATATTAAGAGCAGCCTGTGTGTATTCGTTTGCTTACATTTCTCTCTCTCTTTTTTAAATTTTTTAATGTTTATTTATTTTTGAGAGACAGACAGACAGAGTGGGAACAAGGGAGGAGCAGAGAGAGAGGGAGACACAGAATTCGGAAGCAGGCTCCAGGCTCTGAGCTGTCAGCACAGAGCCCGACATGGGGCTCAAACTCACAAACCGTGAGGACATGACCTGAGTCAAAGTCGGATGCTTAACCGACTGAGCCCCCTGGGTGCCCCGCCTACGTTTCTCTTGAGTGTGTAACTAGGAGTGCAATTTCTGGGGCTTGTATAGGTATAGCTTGACTTAACTGGCCACGTCCAAAAAATGGTTGTATCCTTTTTTCCGCCAGCCATGCAGGTGTGTGAGAAAGAGATCCTTTACTACTTCTATTACTTCTGCAACGACTTTTTATTGACTTGTCAATCTGATCAAATAAGAATAACAAAATCTGAAATGAAATCGCCTGTCTGGAAATTTGCCCAGAAGGCAGGCAATGAGCTGCTGCAGACCTCTAGCATCAGCTGACAGGTTCTACTAGAGTTTTCCAGGACAGCAAAATGCTTATCAACCTTGGCACAGCTTTCGGTGGATTGAGCCACAAGGGATCGATTTCTCTTCCTCTTTTTTTTTCTCTGTCTGTAACTCAAACCTCAGGAGAAGGAGGGAGTGTTAGAAACGTGAAACTGTATTAAAAGTCATTCATGACAAGCACTTATTATACATGTGTGCCCAACACCTTGCTGGACGCAATGGTAAAGAAGAAAGGTCTGGCAGATTCCATTCATGTCCTCAAGTTGCTCACAACCTAGCTGATGGATACAAGATGGCAACCCTTCCTCTGCACACCATGTAAAGACTGTCGTTCTGGATCCTGTGCTTTACTTTTTGTGCTCTATTTCACTTGCTCTCCCTGGGTCATCTCATCTGCATCTCATCCATGATTTCAACGACACATCACACTTCCCTCCCAAATCACCACACCCGGCCGGAGCTCCAGACATACGTCTTCCAACTATTTTCATCCTCCACTCCTCTCTGATGTGCATGCTTAGAAGGAATTCATCAGCAAATTTTGTTAACTTTGGTTCTAGAATACAGGCAGGATCATACTACTTTTCAGCACATCGTTCCCTCCGACGCTTGCTGAAAGCACTATCATCCCTGGTCTTCATTATGGCAAGAGCTCTACTCAACTAGTACTGCTCTCTTACTGCCTTTGCCTGCTCTGTATTCATTTCCCTTTCTTTTGGTGATAGAAACTTGAGTTACCTTTGGTGAATGTGACCATCAGGGTTCCAGGAGAAGGTTAATTTGAGAAGCATTTGGCAAAGGTTAATCACAAAGGTACAGGCAGGGTTGAGGGGAACAAGAAGGAATGGAGGTATGGTACCCTGAGGCTGCCAGGAGAGGGGAGCCATTACCACCGGGAGGCCCAAGAGAAGAAAGATTTTAACCTAAATAGAGCAGAGATCTGGACGAGAAAGAAGCCTCAGGAGATCTATGCAGACAACATGCAGCTACCTGGGAGGGAAAGGGCCTGTGGATTAATACCCTCACTTCGTCTTCTTCCACCCCCTCTGATCTCCTACTAATTTCTAGCAGAAAAATTCAACTGGCAGCCAGAGGATAAGAGACGTGCTGAGGCACTCCATGCAGGTCGGCCTCCTGAGATACAAATCAGGAAGGAAAAGGGGAAAGAGTCCATCATCTCAAGGGACCAACAGAAAATACCTCACACGGGAAGCTGTTTCTCCTCACTTCTCAGTCTGTGAAATCTGAGAGGTGCTGATCTCGCTGCAGCTCAAGGAGGGAGCAGGGGATCCAGGCCTGGGCTGGAAGACCAACCCATGCCCCTTCTCAAGAGGGCAGTTTACCGAGCTCCCAATAACCCGAGTCAGAACAATAAGAGGCGGTTCCAGAACTTTTGTGGACAGTCTCGAGGAAAAGAGACTCTTTCTGTTGGTGAGGATGTGATTTGAAGCTGTAAGCCACCATTCTGCCGTCTCATGGAGAAAGGCATCCTGGGAATGAAAAGTCAACACCAAGGACAACAGTCAGGAAGTAGTGAATAAAAACTACATCTTGGGGTGTCTGGCGGGGGCCCAGGCAGTGGCACACATGACTCCTGATCTTGGGGTTGTGAGTTTGAACCTCATGTTGGGTGTAGAGAGCACTTAAAAATAAAATCTTAACCACACAAAAATGAAAAGACTAAATCTTTTTTTTTTTTTAATTTTTATTTCTAGGAGAGAGACAGAGTGCGTGTGAGCAGGGGAGGGTCAGAGAGAGAGGGAGTCACAGACTGAAACAGGCTCCAGGCTCTGAGCTGGCAGTCAGCACAGAGCCTGACGTGGGGCTCGAACCCACGAACCGCGAGATCATGACCTAAGCGAAAGTCAGACGCTTAACCGACTAAGCCACCCAGGTGCCCCAGAAAAGACTAAATCTTGATGTCATAGTTTGAAGCCCCTGGATCCAGTGTGACTGGAGCCCACACTGTTTCTGTTACATGAAACAATGAATTTCATTTGCTGCTTAGCCCAGTTGGATATACTGCATGCAAAACAACAAACAAAAAACCCTTGAATAATATTTAATAACCACCCCCAGAGACCAACACGTATTCACATGTCTGTAAATATGTTGTCGTTACTATGAAATGCCCTTTCCCATATTCTCCACCTAGAAAACTCCTATTCAAATACCGTATCTGCAAATCTTTCCCTCCGTTTTTCCAGCAGAATTACTCACTTCTGCCTCTGTTTTGGCAGCGCTTTGCAAATGCTCTATTAGCGCACCTATAAAATTGTATCACAATTACTCCTTCACTTATCTGTCTCCTCTGTGAGCTCCTGAAGGGGTAGACTTTGTGGAAGTTACTCTTTTTTTTTTTTTAATTTTAAATGTTTTTTTTAAAAATTTATTTCTGAGAGAGAGAGAGAGAGAGACAGCATGAGGAGGAGAGGGTCAGAGAGAGAGGGAGACACAGAATCTGAAGTAGGTGCCAGGCTCTGAGCCCGAGGGGGGGCTCGAACCCACAGACAGTGAGATCATGACCTGAGCCAAAGTCGGACGCTTAACCGACTGAGCCACCCAGGCGCCCCTGTGGAAGTTATTCTTAACAGCCCGGTGCCTGGCCCAATACCTCCCGGGGAACTCTGGGATAAACAAGGCTAAATGGGTCTTTTTACCTTAAAAATGGACCTCCCAGAAACATTTCTGTGTTCACATGCACATGGACCCTCAGGTGGCAGTACAGAATGCAGCAGTTCCCGAACTCATTTGACCTAAAAACTCATTTTTTGCCCAAGTTGCCAGGTTGGTGGCATCTAAAGAAGAAAAATTACTGTGGTGGTTCTTAGGGTGACTTTCATGAAAGAAGTGGCTCTCCAGAAATATTTGTTAAATGAATGAAAGGGAAAACTTGGTTAGGTCGAGGTGGGGAGGAGGGGCAGCAGGACTGTAAGCTGCAGAAACAACAGAAGCAATAAGCAGGGAGCAAGAGAGGTGATCTCTCTGATGGTGCAGGGCCAGCTGTTAGGGTGACTGGGCCACAATTCAACCCCACTTCCTTAGTGTAAATCTAACAGCGATTAGATGTATTCCAGACACCTTTATTCTTCTTCTTCCCCCATAACCAGGGTGCTGAGTGTCTGACAGCACTGCCTGCAGGATTTTGACCTTCAATTTGCTTTACTTTGCCACCAAGGACAAGGAGTGGGTGTTCAGAACTGATTTTCTTCCAACTGCACACCTTTAAGATAGATTCCTGTCCTGTTCTATGGCTGTATCCCTCTCCATGAAGGAAGGGAATAGACACAAGCTCACTTCCAAGCTTGGCTCCGATGACTTATAAAAAAATTAAAAGAAAATATAATAATAATTATTATATCTGCCAAAGAGAGTCCCAGGCCTACCATTGTAACCTTGGGCAACTCATTGCACAGCTTAGGTACTTGCACTATTTGTAAAATAAGCATCATTCTGTCCCACTGTCTCCCTGGGCTTCTGAGCGCATCAAGCAAGACTGTGCGTGAGAAGTATTTTGTAAATGCAAAGTAAAGCACTAAAAATGTAAATATTATTAGCACTGTACCTAAGGGGGGAGGAGGGAGAGGAGGGAGAGGAGGAGGCAGGAGCCGGGGAGGAGGCGGAAGAGGAGGCGGGAGGCGGCAGCGGAACCGCACCGCGGTTAATAGCCCAGGATGTGGAGCCGCGCCCCGGCTGCTACCTGGAGTCCAGCCACCTACTAGCCGCCTCTCCTCGGGCAATTAAGCACGTGGAAGCCCTCCTCGTCTATAAAAGCGGGCTAATACTATCCGATTCGCCGGTCGCCGTGAGGTTAAACGAGGTAAGGCTCGCCAAGCACGCGGCGCAGTGTACATAGTAACTGGCGCTCAGTAAACGTCCCTAATACTCCCCCGACTACTCTTGTGACCCGGAGCTGACCGGAGGTAAGCTATTTCTGGCCACCGTGGGAGACGTGGAGGGCGCCGACGGTGCTGTCATGGGGGTACCTAAAGCCCCCGCCCCAGCGGAAGGGCCGCAACGCCCTCCAAGCTTGGGAACGAGCAAGCCCCGCGTGGCCGGGAAGGTGCGCGCACGCGCGAGGCCAGCCCCCCGCCCCGCCCCCACGGCCGCGCGCGCCAGGCGGGGCGGTTTCCGGCGGGCTTCCGGACCCGGCGCGCCCCCGCCCGCCGCCGACTTCTGGCGCCTGCGCCGCGCGCGCGCGCCGCCGGCAGCCTGCCCTGGGCCCCGACTCGGCTCGCGCCCCCGCGGAGGCCGCGGCTCCCTCGAACCTCAAGGGCGTGGCGGCGAGGCGACTGTGCCCCCCGCCGGCTCCCGCCCGCCGCGTCTCCCCAGGCCCGGCTCCCGCGTAGCCCGTCGGGCCGCCCCGGCCTCCCGCCTGCCCGCCTGCCCTTCTTCTGCAGTGGCCAAGCGCGCAGGTGAGTTCCCTTCGCCGGGTGGGGCCGGCGCCCGGCCTCTCCCAGGAGGTTGTGCAACCAGCCCTGGGCAGGGTGGAGGGTGCGGGGTGCGGAAAGTTAAAGAAAGAGTCCGCAGACGCCCGAGAGAGGTGGCCGTTCCATGTCCGAGACCCCAGAGATGCTGCGCGTCCAGGGTCCAGCCCTCGCGCGCCAGCTATGGGGTGATGTCTTGGAAAACAAAACAAACAATTGTTCTCTCCTGTCCACGGGCAGTTTTCTCTCCCAACACTTTGACTTTTTTGAATAGTTGACAGGCTCGTGCTGCTCCTGAAGGCAGGAAGGGTGCCCTCGGTAAAACAGGGACGGCAGGGGGTTCGAAGCCCCTCACCACCCCCTTGATGCACGAATAGCCGTCGCTTTCCTTATTCGTTAACTTCTTGAAACTTGTCTGCCGGCTTCCATCTGTTGTCTGGACCTGGAGAGGGATAGTGGTCTGTTGTTGCCGGGTCGCTTCCAGATTCCGTGCAAAATCCGATCCTCTCTTTCAGGGATTAGGAGGCTAGTGTAGGGAGCTATTCAGATCCGTGTTTCGGTTACAAGCTACGATTCACTAAAGTGATGTTTTAGTGTAGTGCTCAAACGCAGAAATACTCTCTCCCGTATAGAAAATTACCTAGCACACCATGCTTATTTGCACTTTGCATAGAATCCTCTGCATTTTATGGATGTACTGTTTGGTAAGAGAAGTAACGGATTTATTTGCATCTGTGATGGCATATGTTTTACAATAATTGAAGACCATTTCATTAGCTCTTTCAATTTATTAAATTATAAAAACGCAACATTGCGACTCAGGGTATAGATTTTTGTGCATCACACAAATTTGTACTTTTTGGCAGGCACTTAATGTTGGTATTGAGGACTTTTGATGGAGGAAGACAGTGAAAGGCTTGAAGACTACGCCCCTTCTTTAGTCATGCCATCAGCTTTCCATTTCACTGCTGTGGCAGATCTTTTCTTTCCTAGCTGCGGAAGAGAGTTCAGTAACTTTCAGGGAAAACAAGATTTTTCCCATTATTGTACATCTGTAAAGCTTTTAAATATGTAGATGTCAAGGATTACAAATGAGAACACATTTTGTATGGTGCCGGAGCATTTGTTGGTTGAAGGAGTTTAGCAGAACACCATGGGAAAAAAATAGTGTCATTTGGAAATCCATTAGGCTGAAGCCTGTGAAATAATGGAAGCTCTAAAGTTGAATGCCATTGTTGTTTAGACCCCAAAAAAACCCACAAAATGTGCGGGGCAGACAGCAGATCTGTCTAGAATGCAGAGGTTATACAGTGAGGGAAAGTGCATTATATACAGCAAAGCAAATAGCATCAGCCTTTGATATCTCAACTTCAATAAGCCTTTAAAACCTATTATTTCCATATGTTCTGATAGTTGATATTTGTTGTTTTTTCTATTCTTTCGCACACCAAGAAATCCCTCTTTTCCCAGTGGAGCCCTGAACCTTAATAATTATAATAGAACCAATTCTAAATTATCCGTGAAAGGGGAGTATATATAGGTCATTGAAACAGAAAAAATACAAAAACCGAATTTTCACCTACTTGATTTACTTCCACACCATTTTTTTCTTTCGCCGCAACTATTAAAAAGCAGTAAAAGTCTACCTCTAAGTGGTACATGAGGAGAGAATAGACGTTAGAGGCTTACATGATAGCTATTCAGAACCCCTATATCAACAATGCTGAGGGTTTTTTTTTTTTTTTTTTAAAGAAATCTAGTCTGAATTCTAATTTAGAAGTCTTTAAAAAAGAATTTAGTAGTTTAGCAACATCTGTGAGTATTTTCCTTATTTTATATATGGGAGAACAAATAAAAAGCCAAGTGACTTCCTCCCAGGTTATTGAGCAGGGCATGCAGAAAGCCGGAGAGAGAGTAACTCGTCTGCTTCCTGTATCGTTTGGTAGCATTGTGAGTACATCAAAAGATCATAAAGTGAATCTAGCTAAGCTCTTTTAAAGAGTCAACAAGTTGAGAAGCATACCATTTTGAAAACTTAATTTTTTCAAAAAAATCCTGGAAGAGGCTGAATTCACCTTTTCCTGATCAAAACTTAAAATGGCCAAGTCAAAGGCACACACCTGCCGTTTTGCCTTGATGGGTTCCTTTTGCCACAAGGCTGGGAGAAGAGCAGATGGTCATGCTACTTGGAGTTTTCCACTCATTTGATGTTTCCATGAAGAAACAATTCGCCAGAAGCCAGCCACAGCTACAGTTGCACCGAGATGATGCTAAACCCTGATTAGCACAGACCTTCGCTTACAGAAGCGGGAGGATGTTAAACCAGTCGGTGTTTCCCTGGTTCAGTAAACTTAGGAACAGCTTAGTCTTGTAATAGTTAGAGCGGCCAGAGTTAGCAACTGCTCCAGTAGTAACAGCATAGAAACAATGGACTCTGGTAATTTTTTTCTTCGCTTTAATAAAATCAAGCTGCTTGTTAAGCTGAGTTACCTTATAAGATGATTTCTTTGCAGCCTTGCCAAGATTGCCATTTCCACTAGTTGATTTTGATCATCGCTCTCTTTCTGTTCAGATCGAACTGCATTTTATGATGTCAGAAAATTTCTAAATGGTTGAAGATGTTGACTTAAGCTATATCCAAAAAAAGCTCATGGTTCGCCTTCAGCAAGAAAGGCATCATCTGAAAGATAGTATCTCTAATACTGTGTGTGTTGAATTACAACATGAGATTCCATGAAGCTCAGAAAAAAGGCACCATGGCCTTTTTTCAGTCAACTGTTTTTAAATCTTTAAAGGTTTTCTTCAACCGTTTTTAAAAATGTAAAGGTTTTCTTCCTGGAGCCATAGTACTACTTCCAGTGGTTGCTCCGAGCTGGTTTCATTGCTAGGTCAGCCACTGAACAGTTTTCTTAAAATGATACAAAGTGTTTATTTTATTTTTGTAGCCTTTTAATGGCTTGGAATTAGGTTATTTGGGCATGTACATTTCTCATTTTATTGTTTGAATACCTGTTCCGCTGACGGTTCTGACATTATTGGCGTCTTCTCAACCCAACAATTCATTGATGTAGATTGTGCCCACGTAAAAATCATTATCAAGCACTAACTATATGCAAAGCATTGTTCTGAGCACTTAGCATTTAGTCCTCCTGACATCCTTATTGGGTAAGGGTTATTATTTTATAATTCTGTTTTACAGTTGAGGAAATGGGAAGGGAGGCAAAGTAATTTGCCTAATAAAGAGTACTGGGGAGCCAGAGTTTCAGTCTAGAAAATTGATTATGAAGACTGCATCTTCTCAGGATATACTTAAAGACTGTTCAGCCTTGTTGGTAGTTACTGTGATATTTCATCAATCCATCCTTTTAAAGTGTATCAAAGACACAGTACTGCATAAGTGAAGAAAACCTAGCAGTACTATAAAGACTATTGCAATATCTTGGGACAAAAGGCAGATTATTTAACAATAACCTAAAACATTTGAAGAGAAAAATATCATAAGGACATTACTGGGGTAACTGATTAAGTTTGGAGGTAGACACTGATTTAGATGACAGGATTATGTCAGTGTTAAATGTCCTGGCTTTGATCACTGTACTGTGGCTCGTGTAAGAAACTGATCTTCTTCTGTCGCTGAAGAACGCTTTGGGAGTAAAGATGGCACACCTGTCTTCCTCTGAGCGGTTCAGGGGAAAAAGTGTATAGAAACAATGATTTTAAAAATGGGCAAAAATGTATTGGTAACTCTAGGTAAAAAGCATGTAGAAATTCGTTGTACTATTCTTTTCTGTTTGAAATTATGGCAAAAGAAGAAGTTACCCCAAAGTGAAGGTAGAAAACAGGAAATGAAGGTGTAACATTCTAAGAATTTTTTTTTTAAGTTAAGTGAGGGATTGTTTCCTGTGCTCTGATTTTTCTTTTTTTCCTTTTTTTCCTTTTTAGGGGTTGGAGGAAGGAACTTGAAACAAACAAAAAAATCTTATCAAAAATGGCTTGATTTTCTCATATTTCAAAATCTGGCCGTTGAGAGCTCCCCAATTTGCCCATCTCTAAAAACCCATGCACAGTGTTTTCCTCACCTCTTTGTAATGGGTTTGAGGTGGGATGACATTAAAAACATTAGCACCTCTAAGAGATAAGACATAAAGACAGTCTACTTTTAGTGATATTGAAAGTTAAATTGGGTTAATATATCATTTCCTTGCCTAAAAACCTTCAGTGGCATGCTGATGTTGACTGGTTTTTGAATCAGGACTCTGTACCCTACTTTTAAAGGCAGCTTGGAGACCCATGCCAGCCTTTCTAACTTGGTCTCCCGCCATCCCACCAAATACAGTCCCCTCTGGCCACATCAGATCTTTGTTGGTGATTATCCGTCCTGCCTTTGTCCATGAACTGTTCAGGCTTTGCCTGGAACGCACCCCATCATTTTTCTGCTGAAATTCTGTTTAAGTCTCTCCATAACATCTACGGGGTCGCTGTCTCTAATCTCACATAGAATTAAATTTTCCTTTGTACTGCCTTATCAGTGCTATCTGCTTTCATTCAGCAATTTCTTAGTAAGCATATACTGTTACCAGAAACCGTGCGAGAGACCGGGGTTCAAAGGCACTCACGGTCTGGTGGCTGGGACTGATTTGTAAACAAACAGTCATCAGATAAGTATATAACAGAAAAATAAACAGAGTACTCAGAGAATTATGAACTCTGACAGCTTAGTCTTGAAGAAAAGGATTACAAAGAAAGCCTTAGTGAGGTACCATTCCCCCACCCCCCAACCAGGCCCATTTCCAGATTGGAGACTTCCAGCACAATAATCTAATTAAAGGTATGAAGATGAAAACAATTGTAGTGCCTGTGGGCCATATAGGTAGACGGGTGACAGGAAGCTAAAAATACAAATCTGGACCTCAGGATGGAGAGGTTGAGTCTGGATACAGGGATCCTATGGATGGGTGATTTTCAGGGCGCATAGGCAGGAAAGACCTAGAGGTGGACTAGAATCTCTTGGGATTGTGTACTTTTCAACACCGCCCCCTCCCCCTTCATCACCCAAGATTCTGCTCCTACTCTTGTGACACCCTTCCTGGCTCACCAAGGAAAATGAGAGGTAGTATTGATGGCCCCGTGTTGTGTGCGTGAGCCGTGGGTAAGCAGGAAACAGCTCAGAAACACTGGTGGTTAAGTGGTTAAAGGCCTGATGGATGAAACCACCCAAGAAGAGGAGGAGGAGGAGGAGGAGGAGGAGGGAATCCTCAGCGAGATGAACTTGTAGAGGGTGAGTGGAGAAAAGAGGAGCCAGTGACAGACAGACGGTTTAGGAAGGAGTGCCAGGAAGGACCGAGACCCTACCTGGAAAGCAGAGGCACATTGAATGCCGAGTGAATGGGTGGGCGGCAGTGTCTGGTGCTGCAGTGACAGGCACGTGAGGGCGGTTTCAGCCAAAGGTAGTGGCAGAGGTCCAGAGCCACTGAATTCTTGAGTACGTGCGGTTGAGGAACAGAACACAGCAGAAGAGCTTACCTCTGCCAGGGAATTGGTAGGAAAGGTGAAGGAGAGGCGGAGAGGGAGATGGAGGGGAAAGGTAGAATTCCCAAGGGAGATTTCTTTAAGATTGGGGGGGTGGGGGTGGGGAATCTTGTCTAGGTGTATTTGCTGAAGAAAAGGGACAGATGGAGAAGGAGAAACTGAAAGGACAGGAACTAATGGAACAAGATCCCTTAGGAGTGGTTAGCAGAGTTGAGGAGAAGAAATTCTTGCTTTGGCGGGAGCACCTGGAGGCTGGGAACTACTTCTCACCCGTCTAATGTGCCTGATAATACCTGGCATGCGATGGGCATTCAGAAGATGTTTATAAAAATGAGTAAGGACTTTACTTTTTGGGAATTAGTGTTTCCTGATTGGTGTAGTAGAATAATGGGGAAAAAAACCAAACAAACCCTCTGCTGTTTTAAGCCTATAATTAACATCTGTCAGGTACTCTGTATAAGCAATATATTTGCAGTATTGTATTCTTTGACATAAAGCGGAAAAGCACAAATGAAGTGATTATAAGCTAGTAACAGTCATGATCACTTGATTTCTCTGTGCCTGATTGGTATTTTTTTTTAATGTTTTTTTATTTATATCTAGGAGAGAGAGAGAGACAGCGTGAGCAGGGGAGGGTCAGAGAGAGAGGAGTCACAGACTCTGAAACAGGCTTCAGGCTCTGAGCTGGCAGTCAGCACAGAGCCCGACGCGGGGCTTGAACCCACGAACCGCGAGATCATGACCTAAGCGAAAGTCGGACGCTTAACCGACTAAGCCACCCAGGAGCCCCATGATTGGTATTTTTTAAATTTTGTTTCAGCATCTTGAAACTCGTTAGGGTCAAGGCACTGTCCTGGGGCTGGGGGGGTGGGGGGGCGGCTGCCATTCACAGAAGAAACACAGGTATGTAAAGTCCATAGAAGACAGACACTGTTCCGTTATTTAACAGAGGGATACTAACAACTTCCTGTCCTTAGGATTAAAATGATTAATTTATAAATGTTCAGAAAAAGGTCATCTCTTTCATCGTTGTCTGTGTCAGATTTCACCTTTCGTAAATATTCCTAACATTAACAGTGACTTCCTTTGTATAGAACTTTCGGTTCTGTGAAACTTGATTCTTTGAGAGTATATTCAGAAAGAACAAATTAGTTAAGAAAGGTGAAGTCATCTCATCACAGACCATATTTCACGGTGCAGATGGTGAGTGAATCCGCGTGGGTTTCATTCTGCTGTGCCGCTTCCACTGTTGTAGACCTAAAACCCAAAACAAATATGTGAAGGCAGTTCTGGTCCACATTTTCCTTCCGACTGTTGGTAAACTAGTGTACATATTGATAGTATCTCATTTTGTACTGCTCATATCCCCCCCCCCCATTTCACTAGAAAACTTTTTGCCTCTTTTTGGTAATAATGTCATTGCCAGTGAAATATATTACGTTAACTATGTGAAGCAAATCGAATCAGAATATATAGAACTTACTTCTGAGGACCGTAATGAATTGATTTAAACTCTGATTTATCTTCCCCGAATAAAATTGCTTCCATTGATAAGTGGCTGTGTTGAGAATTGACTGGAACAGTATTTGGCCTTCAGAGTCTTATCTTTTTGCTCGTTTCTTTTTCTAACACCAGATGCCTGCAAGACACCTTAGAACTTAAAAAAACGGAAAAGACCCGCTTTTAGGGGACAATGCTGAGGGACGCTATGAAATCTTGGAACGATAGCCAGTCAGATCTCTGTAGCAGTGACCAAGAAGAGGAAGAAGAGATGGTGTTTGGTGAAAATGAAGACGATTTGGAAGAGATGATGGATTTCAGTGATCTGCCTGCAGCACTCTTTGCTTGCAGTGTCCATGAAGCAGTGTTTGAGGTGCAAGAGCAGAAGGTAGGCGCGTCGTCCTACCTCCCCCGCGTTCGGTAGCGGGTCCGTTCCGGTGGGTGTGGATGCGGAGAGGCGGCAGATTGCTGGCCTGTGACGGGTACAAAAAGCACGCCTCCACCTTGAGACAGTGCCGCAGCATGTCGTTGTGGTTTGTCACCGCACCGGTCCACAGCACGTAAGAAGTATTTCCAAGCTGGTCCTTTCCCACAGATGCTTTGTGAAGCAGCGGTGTGTAGTGAATTCTCATCAGTCAGGTCTTATTAGGTCCTGGTTCATTCATTCATTCGCTCATTCATTCATTCATTCATTCATTTTTGGAGCCCGTGATTAAGGAAAGCTAGTGATTTTCACCCTGGCTTCCGATTACTTGAGAGTAAATTCACATAAGCCGGAAGTATTTTCAGCTTTCTTTCTGAGGCTAATTACTACATTTATGATTTCACTGTAACAGACTTGTCAGCATGTCTTGTATTAACTTTCTGCAGCTTCAGTTCATTTATTATTTACCTGGAAAGAGAGGTTTTATATGTGACTTTTTTCTCCGTCGTGACATCACAAAAACCTATAGGTCTCAGTCGTACAAAAGTAAAGTATGTCTGTCGTGGGTATAAATTGTGCATGTTCTGAGACTCTCTTGACAAACTCACCAGCTCTTTGGTGCTCTGTCTGTGCATTCAGAGTATTTTCCCTCCTGTGACTTTCTTGGAGAGAACATGATAGAGTTTGACTCCCTACAGGCTGAGTGCCTCCAGTGGGTAAGGCGCTGTACCGCTCGCGTCAGGGAATAGAGCAGGGTGACAGTCCCGCAGTGGAAATGGTAAGTAATTTGGCTAAAGATGGAATACTAGTCCCTTTAGAGGCCCTTGAAAGTACATTGAGGTGTCCCAGGACAGAGGATGACACCCAGGTGGAGTAAAAGATCTTAAGGGGAGATGGCATTGGAGAAGGCCATTGTGAGCTGGGTAGGAGTTTAGGAGGAAAGTTTAGCAGGGAGTTTAGCAGGGCAGAGGATCCTGGCCGGAGGGAACAGAGCGAGCCACCAAGCTGACCCAGGAGAGTGTGGACGCTTCGGGGAGTAGTTGTGTGGCTCGTGTGTGCGTAGGTGAGATGTAGCCTCAGTGAAGGGAAATGGAGCTGGAAAGGTCAGCGTATATTCACATAAGCCCTGCAGAGTTCAAGGGGCTTTGCCCTTCTCTGGCAAATAGTGAGGAAGGTCAGTGGACCACGTGTGAAGGGCAGAGTGGCGGAAGGAGAGCCAGATGCAAGGGGCCAGTAGTGAACCTGCGTGGATATGCTGAAGCAAAGCACTGGAGAAGCAAGGGAGAGGGGTGATGCCACCAATCTTATCTTTCATGTTGGTTTTCAGTCACTGGTGTTGCTTGCTTTCTCAAGCTCAGCCGTGACATTGACACTTTGACATCATCCTTCCTCATTTTCTCATCTTTTTAAGAGCTCTGCATGTTCATATAACAATGACATTAACTCTGTTGTTTATTTGTGATACATGAAAGTCACATGTATTCCTAGTTGATCTTAAAATTCCTAAGGATTCTTTCCAAAAGAAAAAAAACCCCCTCACAATCTTATCTGTTCCAACTTTTTTTTTTAAATATAGCCTAGAACGTTTTGTTTAACTTGCCAAAGTGGTGAGTTCTTGTTGGTTTTCATTTAAAAGAAAAGCATTTGGTCGGGGGTGGGGTGGGGTGCCTGGCTGGCTCTGGTCGGTTAAGTGTCCGACTGTTATTTCAGCTCAGGTCGAGATCTCACTGTTGTGAGGTTGAGCCCCGCTTCGGGCTCTGCGCAGACAGCCGGAACCTGCTTGGGATTCTGTCTCGCACACACACTCCCTCTCTCTCAAAATAAACAAACAAGTATTAAAAAAAATAATAAGCCATGTGGGATTATATCTAACCTAAATTAAATTGGAAATCCTCTCAGCAGAAATTCTCGTAGCCATCCGGTAGACTTCATGTTAATGCAGCTCTTAGTCATGGTAAATTTTATATAAAAGCTTTATTGGTAATATCTGAAGCTGCGAACTATTTCTTTTATAACTGGAAGTTTGTACCTTTTGGCCACATTCTACCATTTTGTCACCTAGTTCCCCCTGCCTTTGGCAACCACCAATCCGTTCTCTGTTATCTGTGAGTTTTGTTTGTTTTTTAAATTCCCCATGGTAGAGAGATCATGTGGTAATTGCCTTTTTGTTTGACTTATTTCACTTAACATCATGCCCGTGGGGTCCATCCATGTTCTAAATGGTGAGATTTCATTTTTTTTAATGGCTGAATAAAGTTCCATTGTGTGTGCGTGTGTATATGTACATATGTACGTACGTGCACATACCTGACACACACCACAATTTATTTATCCTTCGATAGACAGTCTATTGCCTTATCTTTGCTATTGTAAATAATGCAGCAATAAACATGGGAATGGAGATCTTTTTTCGAGTTAGTGTTTTTGTTTTCTTGAGATAAATACCCAGAAGTGGTATTACTGGGTTGTTGTGTGGTACTTCTGTCTTTAATTTCTTTTTCTTTTTTAATATGTCAAGTTTTTATTGAAATTCTAATTAGTTAGCATATCATGTAATATTAGTTTCAGGAGTAGAGTTTAGTGATTCTTCACCTACATACAACACCCAGTGCCCAGCCCTCCTTAGTACCCATCACCCATCTAGCCCATCCCCCACTCCTCCCCTCGGTCAACCCTCTGTGTGTTCTCTGTAGTTAAGAGTCTCTTATGGTTTACCTCCCCTTTTTTTTCTTTCTGGTTTTAATTTTTTGAGGACCCTCCACTATTTTTTCCATAATGACTACACCAACTTACGTGCCCACCAACAATGCACAAATGTTCCTTTTCTGCATATCCTCACCAACACTTTTCTCTTTTTGACAATAGCCATTCTAACAAGCGTGAGGATGATATCTGATTGTGGTTTTATCTGTATTTCCATGATAATTAACGATGTTGAGCATCTTTTGTGTGCCTATTGGCCATTTGTATGTCTTCTTTGGAAAAATGTCTGTTCAGATCTCCTGTCCATTAAAAAAATTTTTTTTAATATTTATTTATTATTGAGAGACAGAGCATGAGCATGGGAGGGACAAAGCGGGGCGGGGGGAGACACAGAATCAGAAGCAGGCTCCAGGCCCTGAGCTGTCAGCATGGAGCCCAACACAGAGCTGGAGCCCAACACAGGGCTTGAACCCACAAACCAAGTGTTCACGACCTAAACTGACTTGGATGCTTAACTGATTGAGCCACCCAGGCGCCCCAGATTTTCTGCCCATTTTAAAAATCAGATTGTGTGGGTTTTTTCTTTCTTTCTTTTTTTTTTTTAAATGTTTTATTTATTTCTAGGAGAGAGAGAGAGAGAGAGACATCGTGAGCAGGGGAGGGTCAGAGAGAGAGCGAGTCACAGACTGAAACAGGCTCCAGGCTCTGAGCTGGCAGTTAGCACAGAGCCCGACGCGGGGCTCGAACCCACGAACCGCGAGATCATGACCTGAACGAAAGTCGGACGCTAAACCGACTAAGCCACCCAGGCGCCCCTGTGTGGGTTTTTTCTATTGAGTTTATGAGTTCTTTATTTTGGGTATTAGCTCCTTACCAGATAAATGATTTGCAACTATTTTCTTTTATTCAGTAGGTTGCCTTTTTTTTTGTTTTCCACTTTGTTGATGGTTTCCTCTACTGTGCAAAAGCTTTCTAGTTTGATGTAGTCACACCTCTTTTTGCTTTTCTTCCTTTTGGTTTTGGTGTCATATTTAAAAAATTGCCAAGGGGTACCTGGGTGGCTCATTCGGTTGAGCATCTCCTTTTGGCTCAGGCCATGATCTGATGGTTTGTGATTTTGAGCCCCATGCCGGGCTCTGTGCTGACAGCTCAGAGCATAGAGCCTGCTTCAGATTCTGTGTCTCCCTCCATCTCTGCCCAAACCCCGCTGGCACTTTGTCTCTCTCTGTCTCTTAAAAATGAATAAATGCTAAAAAAAAAAAAAAAAAGTTCTTAATAAAAAAATCATTGCCAAGACTATGCCAAAGAGCTTATCATCTATTTTTTTTTTCTTGTAGGATTTTTCATGGTTTCAGGTCTTACATTCAAGTCTTTAATCTATTTTGAGTTAATTTTTGTGTATGGTGTAAGGTAAAGATTGAGTTTCATTCTTTACATGTAGCTCTCCAGCACCATTTATTGAAGAGACTGTCCTTTTCCCATTGTATATTCTTGACTCCTTTGTTGGAAATTGACCATATGTGTGTGGGTTTATTTCCTAGCTCTCTATTCTGTTTTCATTGATCTGTGCATCTGGTCTTATGCCAATACCATAGTACTTTAATAACTGTAGCTTTGTGGGGTTTTTTTTTTGAATATTCGTATTGTTGAGAGAGAGAAAGAGGGAGAAAACAAGCGAGGGAGGGGCGGTGGGGGGAGGACCGAGGATCTGAAGTGGGCTCTGTGCTGACAGCAGAAAGCTCGATGAGGAACTCAAACTCACAAACTGTGAGATCATGACCTGAGATGAAGTTGGACACTTAACCTACTGAGCAACTCAGGCTCCCCTAAATACTATAGCCTTTGTAATATGGTTTGAAATCAGGGAACACAATCCTCCAGCTTTGTTCTTTCTCAGGAGTGCTTTGGCTATTCAGGGATTTTTGTAGTTCTGTACAAATTTTAGAATTCTTTGTTCTATTTCTTTGAAATGCCATTGGCATTCTTATGTAGATTGCATTGAATTCATAGATTGCTTTGGGTTAGTGTGGACATTTTAACAATAATGATTTTTCCGGTCCATGAGCATGAAATAGCTTTCCATTTATTTACTAATTCTTTTATTTCTTTCATTAATGTCTTGTAGTTTTCAGTATACAAGTCTTTTACTTGTTTGGTTAAATTTATTCCTAGGTATTTTATGCTTTTGATGGTAAGTCTAGATGGGATTGGTTGTTTTTTTTTTCTTTTTTCTTTTTATTTTTTTTGATGGGATTGTTTTC